CTTTGCTGCTGGTAGGGCGGGGCGGGTGCGGGTGCGGGCGAATACGGTTGTGGATGGGCGGCGGGTCTGCGGGGCGCTTCGTGCTCCCCGTCCACACAGTGCAACCACGCCACCCGTGCGCGCGCAGCAGCCCGCGTGTCGCTGGGCAGTATTGTTGTTGCTGGGCGGGTATCTTTGCAGCGGATGGTCGCATATGGGTGCTTGTGGCCATGGTCATGGTGACCTCGTCCGCGCCATCGCAGTGAGACGATTGGACTTTGCAGCAACTCCGGCGTAGTGCGCGCTTCAGCGGCTCCGTAGTGCCCTGGGCGGCATACTCGACCTGACGGGCACGGAGCCGCTTACTCCCTTGCGACTCGGACTCGCTTCAATTGACACCCTTCCTTTGAAATTTTCGGAGTCACTTCGAGAGCCGTGTGGATTTGTCTCAAGGCATCGCGAGAGTGATGTTTGCTGCTCTCCGTCAATCTGAACGCTCGGAGTGGGGTTCCGACGTCTGTTTTACATGCCACATATTGTGTCCAACAGTTATAGATCTCCGATTTTCCTTTTTGCGAAACATATCTACATACTATTTTAGCCCCCCATGTGTCCACGAGTTTGATCTCACGCGATAACTTTATATCCTTGGGACATATTTCTCTCGGCACCTGGAGTTAGGTATCTTCATGTCTTTCCTACGCCCTCAAATATTTTCAGAATTTGTGGGCCTGAGCTGCGGAAGGTACGAACCTTCCAATGATGGATCCAGAAGTGGAATCGGTTTTGGCGGGCGTTTTGGCGTGTGGGAAAAGCACATCAAAACCTTCCTTTTTTTCTTTTGTACGCTGTAAGGCTCAGATTCGTCCAAGATTTCATCCAGCGATTTCTATAGCATGTGCACATATCCCTGAATTTTATCGGAGGGCCCGAGTTCGAAATGCGGGCGGAATCATGAGTAATTCCACTTCGGGGGTCATGGACACATCACGGGCTAAAATAGTACATGGACCGGGGTTCAACTCGCTATACTGTGGGTGCATGTAAATCAAGAGTGCCGGTCCAATTCTGGATACAGTATGAGACGGTTCAAACTCGGAAGGAATGAAAAAATACCCCGGCTGCCTTAGGCTGGAACCATCACCCGGCCCCGAGTTGAACGGGGGCCTTCTGCAGAGCAGAAGATTTTTTACATCAGTGGGAGCAGATGCACACCGTGTGCTACCGGGTGTTAATACCCCTGCATCTTGCCTTGTGAGATGCACGACTTTTCTATGCGGTTCGACGTGTATGCCCCAGCGTCGAGCTGGAGTTTTCGTTTTTCTCGCCAGTCGAGTCCAAGGCCTGGGAAATTAAACCCAGGGACACAAATTCCTGACATCTGACAAAGTCAGAAGAAATGGAGGCAGTTCCCGGCCCCGAGTCGAACGGGGGTCCTCTGCATATCGAACAGAGTTACCATAGTAGGCAGAGTAGGGGCACACCGTGTGCTACCGGGTTGCTACCGGGTTTTATCCTTCCTGTTTAAACATGGGTGATACCTTCAATTCTGATTTAGACTCCAATTGAAGTTTCTGATTCAACATGGTACCGAGATGGAAAATGATGTATAAGCGGGATTCGACTCATGGCTCGTGGTTTCGTGCGTGGTTGGATCGTTTGCCAAGAAGAGAGGAGGGGAAATATAATTCTCGCCTTGCGCAGTATCATCGACCCCGAGTCGAACGGGGGCCTTCTGCATCAAAGAGGCTAGCTTCTACCACGGGAACAGATGCACACCGTGTGCTACCGGGTGATTATCCTCTCTCCAGTGCCTTTGGTTTAATGCCGTTCGACCAACGTCCGACGGGCAGTGTGCATACATAGTTGGATTTTAAGTTATGCAAGTTGAACACTGTTGCATTTTCAAGCTCCGCAAGATTCTGTCAACAATCCAGCCGAGGGACCCCGAGAAAAATCCGTTCCGCTCTCAGAAAGTCTGCTTGCCGTCCTTCCTCTGTTCTGTTTTACATTCTACCTGACCGCCTAGACATACAAGATATGTGAAGTTCAAAATTTTCTCCTCGCCTACTGGGAGCTCGGGCTAAACATGTTTTCTGTATTTCCGCGGACAGTGTTCGGCCTCGGCATATCTGGGGGTACATCTAAATAATGCCGGTCCAATTTTGGATCCAGTTCGAATTCGGAAGGAATGAAAAAAAGGAAACGAGGTCGTCAAATATCACCCGACCCCGGATCGAACGGGGACCTTCTACATACTGTGCTGCGTGCTGCCGGGTGTTAACACCCCTCCTTCTTGCCTTGTTAGCCATCAACTTCGTGGGAACAGCGCACGCGGGCCGTGAATCAAACCGTGGGAATATCATCGGCGTCTTCCGGAGAAGGTTCAACAAGGCCCATGTCAACCCTCAGTACATTTTGGCAAAATGGCGAGATAAAATAAGTAAAACTAGCAGTTAACCGTGCTACGCTACGGAGAAATCGGGTTTCCGATGCTTACATCATATACAGCGTTCCCCCACTCCTTGAGACAACCCCGGTCCTTGAGTCACCCTAAATAAGGTTATATTATGCTCCCTTGGGCCCAAATTATGTTTTAGAAACCTCTATTAATGTTAACTAGCCTTCCTATATACTTAGGTCCCTCAAGACTTCAGTAAGGGAGTTGAGGGAGGCCAGGGAAATCTGTGTTTTTCCGTGTTTTTCGACCCCCGTTTCTTGCGTCACCATGAATTTTTCCCTTCCTATCTCAATTCTGGCCCGATTCCCTCCGAACCGGGATAGAATTGTAGCCAATAAGCATGGGAATCCATTGTACTAAGATTGTGTGGTAAAATAATGGTGCAAAACAAAGTTATGGCCAAATTACAATCCCGTGACTCAAGGAGTGGGGGAACACTGTAGGTTGATTTTTGTCTAGACTTCCTGAGACGCCACTCGTTTTCAACCTCCGGTTGACTCCTCGCGGCCTTGTGAAAAAATAGGTGGTGAACAAATAAGGAAGCAAGTCCTTGAGTGATTTGCCGCAGATATAAGTTCACAATCATCTGAAGACATGTTAAGTTTGAAGGTGCCGCTCGTCGTCAACCTTTGGTTGGCTGCTTGTGGCCGACTTGAGTAAACAGTATTCAAGCTACACTACATACTGAAATTATGCTCACTTGTAGTTAGGAGTCACTGAAATGGGAATTGGTAAATAACTATGCTGGACTACAAACATTTTCTTCGCGTTGCTGGCATTCCCGTTCAGATTGCTTTGCCACAGATAGCATTACGTGATACTCCTGGGATCCTAACATATTTTCACGACGACTTGGCCTGTACCTGTTCTCATGTCGGGGATTGTTTATTTCAAACTCCTTGTCCAATGCTTGATCAAGAGCCTCAGTTGGATTTGCTCGTCATGTTACAATTCTAGAACTACTGTGCTCTGTAACTGCACTCACCATAAACTGCATCAAACTCAAGTCACTGTTCTGCTTCCTCTACCTTCCTCCACAAAGTCTGTGCTCGAGATCGTATATTCTTATGGCCTTTCGCTTGCAGCAACTCTTCTATTTTTTCTGCAAGTTCCCGCTGGCGTCGTGCCCGGTGGGCAGCAGATCTATGTGAATTCACTAACTTGGGGCCACCAAGGAGCTCTGACTGTGATTGTGAAATGTCATAAATGCGGTGGAAGATTGCGCTTGAAGTCGTACCTGTCCCCGATTTTCTTTTTCTCTTTGCCGGCGCCTTTTTTGGCCCATCGAGTGTCGGTCAAATTCTTGCTTAGCCTACACCATATGCAATCAATGGCGACGATCCATGGACACATAGAAGCGTACTTTTTCGATTACACCCAGTACATATGTGTCAAAATTAACTGGTACCTTATCTTGAAATGTTCACCGAAAACCCGTCAAAGCTGATCATTCGCTGTCATGAAGACTTTTACCTCAATTTGGAACGGCTCCGGCCTCGTCTGCGAGTCAGATTTGGGAAGGAGAGGTCGCAGTTGGCCAGCGTGTGTCATGTTCATTGAAAAACCCAGCGCGATGTCCGAACTTGACATTGAAACAGTTATAAATAGAAATTGAACACTGTGGTGGAGTACCTGTGGAGCTTTCAACATCTAGGTGGAACTGTGAAGAAGATTACATCATTGGGAGCCTCTGGCGCCAGTACGAATGTATGTTTGTCTAATTATCTTGTCTGGCCCACACAAGGGGTTCTCATTTCTTATATAGATGAAAGCTCCAGTGGACTGTTTAAATTTTGGGGGTTTCTGTGTGGCCGCGGCCATTTTCAAAAGCTTGAAGGTTCAGCCCATCCGAGAATGCAGGTTTCAGCCCCCATTTCCACCCTACTATGCCTGTCTTGCGCGAATACAATGAAATAAGGTAATTAATGCTCCTGCGCTTGTGACAACACACATATACACTTCGTATGGATCTCTTCGAGTTCAAGGCAAACCCGAACCATAATGCACCTGACCTTCAATGGCCGAGCCCGATCGAGCCTGCCGACTTTGTTCCTTCTTCGGATGTACATTTTGGCTGCAAGACGGTATCAAAATGAAAAATAATTTATGAGCGGGATTCATCTCGTGGCTCCTGGTTCCGTCCTTAGTGGGATCGTTTACGCGGGACCAAGAAGAGGAATCAAAAAAAATACCAAAACAAAAATACCGCTCCCGACTCGCCGCATCACCTGGCCCCGAGTCGCTTCGGGGGGCTTCTGCACTGAAATCAGTTCCCTGTAGGACGCAAGATAAGCAGATGCACACCGTGTGTTGCCGGGTGTTAATTTCTTAGATGAACGACATCCAATGAATTTCAACCTGCATGTAGTGGGAGTTGAGCTACCGTTCATTTCAGGCATGGCTCATTCCGACTTCTATATAAAATTTACTTCCGAACTGACGGAGAGCGCTGGGTTTCAACTCAGTGAGTCAAATAGTGGAATTCAACATAGTGATTCAAGTTGAGTGTACCAAAAGCCGCCGAACATCAAGAGAAAAACGGGACACAGCAAGCAACTTATCACCCGGCCCCGGATCGAACGGGGGGCCTTCTGCATATTCTGGGCCTGTTCATGATAAATAGGAACAGATGCACACCATGTGCTACCGGGTGTTATCTTCCTCGCTGTGCACCTCGTTTAATTTTGCTCAAGTTCGAGCAGCTAGTGCAGCGGAATTTTGAATTGAACACTGGTTCATGTTCAAGCTCCGTCGGATTCTGTCAAAATCAGTAGAGGGACCCGGCAATTCAACATCAACCGTTTGCGGGAAATTTCGGCTTTGATTTGCGTCATAGGCTTCGGGTCTCAAGAGTAGCGCACAGCGAACCCGAGAGCAAGGAAGCGAGCGGGACAAAACAGACGGGCACAGGTCCATCACCCGGCCCCGAGTCAAACGGGGGTCTTCTGCATCCGAGAGTCTTTCTATTTTTTTTCAAGGGAAGCAGATGCACGCTGTGTGCCACCATGTGTTGGACGCAACGGGTTGAGCGTCGGGAGGTACGTGACTTGGTTCATCTCGGTGACTCAACCTCGGGGTGAATGAATTGAATGTTGAAGGTTGGAATTCCGAAATTAAACACGGTACCATGCGAGCTGCTTGTGAGGGGATTAAACTCAGGGGTGATTGTGAAACTTCAGCTCACTTGAAGTGAGCTGCTTGGGCGAGGGGCCCGCCTGGAAGAAAACACTGGCTGGAATCGCATCACCCGACTCTGAGTCGAACGGGGGTCTGCTGCATAACGTGCAACAGTCCGTTTACATTACGCAGATGCACACCGTGTGCGACCGGGTGTTGATACCCCTCCACCTTCCCTCATGACATCTGCAGCTTTTTAATGCAGATTTTTTCAACTGTGAGTACTTGTATGGGCCATATACTGTACAATAAATCAGGTTTTTTGAAATGACAATAAAGTCACTGAAATGACATCAGGAAGTAAAAATCTGTGAAACGACACCCCAGATTAAATACGTGAAATGGAAGGATAAAAAAAATTGCGAGATGACTTGTAAAAATATGGAGACTCAGGCCAGTTCGGGCTACATGGCTAGCGATCTGGTGCCGCCCATCGCCGCGGGGCACGATTACTTAATGAAGGACCGAGAACGGGCTTATAACGACTCTGTTTCTAGAATCAACTCTGTTCCCGTGTTTCGTTTGATCGTTTGAAAGGTTTGCCCCACTTGATGTACTAACTTATCTCTGCTTTTTTGGCATTCCCATTAGTTCTACCCTGGTGAGTCGGACATTTCGACCAGAAGGCTGTGACCGTGAGCTCGGCCAAGGGAGGGCCAGAGAGCATTATCAGTGCCTGTACACCGGGATACTTCCTGGAAACCGGTGTTCCTAAGCAGGACCGTGCCATGTAATTCTACCTACCTACCCACCTACCTAGTCTTTTATACACAGACACTACAATATTTTTCGCTCATACCTCGTGTGTTGTACTACTTACCTACCTGTCTGATAGGGATCATTGGGGTCAAGAGGGATATCTTGGATTGTGTCTAATTGGTGTCTTGCCCTCTTGACTGCTGGAGTCTCAGCATTAGGCAGAGAGTCCACAATGAACTGCACCTCTGGGGAAATTCTGTGGCATTCCATGAGAAACTGGCGCAAAGAGTCCCCATCATCGGCCATGTTGAAGCGGGCGAGATAAAGACGGATGCGGTGCTGCGCATCACTTACTAGATTAGCTGATATTATTACTATATAATTACATTCAATTCGACCGGAGGTGTGACGCGTGACCCGAATTATCAGTTCGACCATTCGACCAGGGCTGAAATTTCGCGTGACAGAGCCAAAATTGTCGACCACCGGAACAAGATTTTTCAAATTTACATGTCACGGAGGAGATTTTGAGTAGTTTTGACGCCTGCATGACGAAAATTACATTCGACCAAGGGGTGGGTGATGCGTGACGAAACACCAATATTCGCCATCGACCAAGGGGGGAGTGATGCGTGATGGTCAAATTGAATGTGATAATCCAGTAACCCAGCCAAAGTTCAGCTGAGTATCCGAGCCAGACCATTGTGGTGCCACCCTGTCATCTCAATATTTTCCGTCCATTTCAGACTTTTATTCAGTGTATGTCATCTCAAGTATCTTGCTCAGGTGAGGTGTTGTTTCGAACATTTTTCGCTTTCTCAACTGTCATCTCACAATATTTCGTGTTATTTGAGAAAAAATTATTTACTATACAGTATATGTGCCATAATTATACACTATATGTGCCATATACTTGGATCAATCCTCAATTTGAGATCCCGTAAGACAGAAAGAGTATAGGTATTTTCAAGAGAGGAATTACTTGAGATTGAGCGGGAGGCGTTGTTTGAGGCGAAGAGCAAGAGTTGGAGGAAGAAGATGAGGGGAGGCAACAGATCACAAAAAGTAGCCTCAATGCGTTTCCATCCCCGACCCCGAGTCAAACGGGGTTCTTCTGCAGCAGGGCCACTTTGTGATTAGTGGGAGCAGATGCACGCCGTGTGCGACCGGGTGTTCATACCCCTCCTTCCTGGCCTGTGAGGTGCGCGACTCTTTTGTCGGGGAATTAGTTTGATCGAGTTTAATCGATGAAGGGTGTTGGCGAAATACATTGCGATATTGGAGGGTTAAAAACGGGGTTTCAAGGGACAGGAAAAAAAGAAGGATAAATGCTGGATAAATGTATCATGACGACCTGACCCCGGGGTCTTCTGCGCACGTGTAACAACGAATTCAAGGTTCAAGGTGGGCAGACGCACGCCATGTGCGACCGGGTATTACGCCTGCCTTTCCGACGTGTCTGATAGCTTGCTGATTCAGACTCGGGTTGAAGATCGTGGTTGGGCTTCATAAATTCAACAGGGTACCGTGAAGAGCGGCGTGTGAGGGGATTAAACTTGTGGGTGGTTGAGCTGCTTGGTGAGCGGGGGATGGGTCCGCCTGAAGAAAGAAAAACCGTAATTGGATACATGCCATATCACCCGAGTAGTACCCACCTTCGTCACTTCGTCACTTCACTTAAGTTCGCTTAAGCTCGGGGATCTTCGTGACTTTGATGGAAAATTGTGAAAGGTCGTGACTTCGGTGAGCTTCTGGGAAAGTTCGTGAGTATTCAAATCGAAAACATCAATGTGGCCATCATTTGCTGCCAGCTCAAGTCCCTCCTTGTTTTTTTCATATAGATCCTTACCCCAACACCAACCACTAACCCTAACCACTAAGCCGGCTATTTAAATTTGGTATGGAGCACTTCCAAAATGACGCAAAGTAACGACAGCCGAATGGAGCCTTAAAATTTTGAGAGGAGAAACAAAAAAACACTAAATATCATTCGGTGCATCACCATCACCCGACCCCGGGTCGAACGGGGGCCGTCTGCACTGACACTATCAAGCGGCTTGTCTCTGAGCTTGTACCAGTACTTCGAAACCTCGATGCGGAGGGGCGTAGGTTGAAGGTAATCTGAGGGGGCTTAATCTCGGGTCAATTACCAGGTGCCCAATTGCGAGTGGGAGTGGGATTGGATCGATATCGATGTAATATCAAGGGGTACCCGCCGGAGAATGCCGAGGCAAAGCCTCACAGGGAGGGTAGGTCTGGCAACCTCTTGTTTCACTTTTCGGAATTTGTGCAGACCACTCTGAAAATGCATTTGGAAGGGTCACAAAAATCCGATTTGTTTGGTATCAGGTCGAAGTCTCCTAAGTCAAAGACGAACATGAATTCAATTGATGCCGGAGAATCGGCACAGATTCCGTGCTGAAGGTGACCGATTGCGGCCAGAATTTGGCATTTCCAACGAATTTTCCTGATAAAATTGCCCAATTCGGTGCTTACATAACTCACCGTCTTTTTTACGCTGGCCTTGCCCAATCCAGTCAGATATTTTGAAGGGAGTTTTTTGGCTCATTGAAAGTAGTAGTAAAATGAGGTGGGGTGAAGAGAGATTTTCAAAAATCAAGGATATTTTTTGTTCCCATAAGTATCCTATGCAAAAAGTTTAACAGACAGTGCGCACCACCACGGTGCATGCACCTTACCAGTTCTTGGCCTAATCGCCGCTGAGTTAAATCACGTCGGCTGCTTAGCGAACCCGACAATTTCTGTCATAAGTGACTATTAAAGTCACCCGTCCTCCCTGCCGTTCCGAGCAGCCATAGTTGACCTGCCAATAAATTATGTCGTAACCCTCACCTTCTTTCCCTCCATATAAGTGTTGGGAATAAAATTAACACTTTTGGAGACCATCACAGCTCGGTGGCTATCTGACCACCTGAGAAAGTGAACAGTTGGCGTAACACGTAACATGGTGTGAACACTTGGTCTGAATAGTATAGTACTAAAAGTTACGAGTCCTAAAAATATCCTTTTTTAGACTCATCTTTACTCTCGTTTCTCCGCTTCAGCTGAAGCTTTTTTCCCGATACCGTATGAGCTTCGTGGGTGCACCTTTCCTACAAAAGGCAATTATCGTGGGCTTTGGTTTCTTATATCGGACATTAGTCATATTGAATGACTGTTTTTTTCTCGATGATTTGACATTTCCGAGCTGGCATTAAGGGTGCTCAATTCTAAGTTTGCTGGCAACCTGCCAGCTTAGCTGACGCACGCCTCCCCCACAATCACCTTCCTTATATGGTAGTTGTTTGATGGGAAGCCGTCGCGGAGGTACTTAGCCAACCAGCTAGTGCACCTGTCATGCCATCCATGCTCTAGTGGTTAATGTCTTAGCCCCTCCGGATTACGTACTCACGGGTTCGAATCCCGCGGTGTGCGTTTACTTTTTACGTTTATCACACAGCCCGCGCCGACTGGCCTTCATGATTCGGGAACAGAATAGACGCTCCATGCGTCCGGAGGTGGTTTGACCGTCCGCGATGTTTTTCCTGCGTCGGATCTCGCTTGCAAGCCCTACATTTACAAACAGTACAAATAAGTAAAGAATGGGGGGATAATGATGTCCGGAAGACACAGAGCAGTGATCTGAACAGTGAACACCACCCCACACACTCGGCCCAGCTCGATCCCTACGGAGGGGCACCCAGTAGTACCATATCAGAACAACACTTACAGTTCAATGATCTTCAATCAATTTACTTATACCGGCCCAAAAGCAGA